GCACGAGTGTAGGCTCCCTAGCCCGTCAGGCGGTGTTAAGACTGCCCGCCTGTTCCATGTGTCAGGAGTAGATAACTCCTTGGCACATTGCTGCCTTAGTGCTCCTGCCTTTGCACGATTAGTGAAAAAGGAGCAGCTAGAGGAACAGGTTTTTGTGGCCTATGTTAGGCCAATTACTGAGCCTAAGGAAGAGAAGCCCATAGACCCTGCTATTGCCCAGTTGCTGAAAGAATTTAAGGACTTAGCTGAGCCGCCGACAGGAACAGTGTCGCGGCCCATCCAGCACCGTATTGAGATAGAGCCTGGCAGTAGAACTCCTAACGGAGCAGTGTATAGGATGTCCCCGCGGGAGTTGGAGGAGCTTCCCAAGCAATTGGACGAGCTCCTTGAAAAGGGTTGGATTAGGCCCAGTTCATCTCCTTTTGGAACACCTGTTCTCTTCGTCCCCAAGAAGGAGGGAGAGCTAAGGATGTGTATAGACTATAGAGGTCTGAATGCTATTACAGTGAAGAATGCTGAGCCACTGCCTAGGATAGATGATCTCCTAGATAGAGTGCAGGGGTGCAAGTATTTCTCTAAGATAGATTTGAAGTTTGGATATCATCAGATAGAGGTACACCCTGATGATCAGTACAAGACCGCGTTCCGGACTAGATACGGGCACTACGAGTTTATAGTGATGCCCTTTGGACTAACCAACGCGCCAGCAACTTTCCAGCGGTGTATGAATGATTTGTTTAGGCCATGGTTAGATAGATTTGTGGTGGTTTACTTAGATGATATCTTAGTGTTTAGTAAGACCCTCGAAGAGCATCAGGGTCATCTCAGGCAGGTCTTGGAAAAGCTGAGGGAAGCTAACTTCAAGATCAACGCAAAGAAGTGCGAGTGGGCAAAGACCCAAGTTTTGTATCTAGGCCATGTCTTAGACGGAGACGACATTAAGCTAGAGGATAGCAAGATCGCAGCGATTAGAGATTGGCCAACGCCGCGTACGTTGACAGAATTGCGGTCGTTCCTAGGCCTAGCTAATTATTACAGGAAGTTCGTGAGGAACTTCTCCACCATCGCTGCGCCCCTTCGCAGATTGCTCAGGAAGGAGACCATCTGGAAGTGGGATAAGGACTGCACGTCTGCCATGAAAAAGTTAAAGCAGGCATTGATAGAGTACCCTGTCCTTAAGGTTGCCGATCCGTCCTTACCCTTTGTCGTTACTACGGACGCCAGTCGGTACGGCATAGGTGCAGTTTTGAAGCAAGACGATGGCCATGGGTATAGGCCCGTAGAGTTCATGTCTGCCCGAATGCCTTCAGAGAAGGTCGTGACATCTACCTATGAGAGGGAACTCTACGCTCTCAGGCAAGCGTTAGAACACTGGAAGCACTACTTGCTTGGGAGGCACTTCAAAATTTATTCAGACCACGAAACATTGAGATGGTTAAAGACGCAGGCCAAGATGACACCTAAGCTTACTAGGTGGGCCGCAGAGATAGATCAGTATAGCTTTGAGCTCAAGCCTGTCAAAGGGAAGTATAACGTAGTTGCGGATGCTCTGAGTAGGAGAGCTGATTACTTTGTGGCAATAGTGCATTATCTAGATATAGGGAAGGACCTGCAGTAGAAGATTAGGGAAGCCTATGCACAGGACCCTATCTATAGTGACCTCCTTAAGAAAGTCAAAGAGACCCCAGAGACTGAACCGAATTACCGCACTACTGAATGGTTGCTTTTTGAGAAGACTAATGTCTTTGACCGATTGTGCATCCCCAATAGCGAAGAGATCCGCAGTCTGATCTTGGGAGAATGCCATGACACAGAGGGTCATTTTGGTTGGCAAAAGACCTTAGCCAATCTGATGCGCGCGTATACCTGGCCAGGGATGAAGAATGACTGCGTAGAGTATGTTCGCAGTTGCAAAGTTTGCCAGCGTAATAAGACTAGTACGCGTGGCCCGTTAGGTCTTCTCAGACCCTTACCCATTCCGGAGCAACCGGGAGACTCAGTGTCCATAGATTTCATGGACACCCAAGTCAAGAGCAGGCATGGTAAAAGCCMGGTCATGGTCATAGTTAACCGTTTTAGCAAGTATGCARCTTTTGTTCCCTTGCCTTCAGAGGCACGTACAGACTTAGTGATACAAAAGTTTTTTGACTGTTGGGTTAGTGAAAATGGAATCCCACTGTCAATAGTTAGCGATAGAGATAGCCGTTTTACCAGCCAAAACTGGCAAGAACTCATGGGAGTATAYGGATCTAAGTTGTTGATGTCGTCCGACCGCCATCCAGAGACTAACGGTCAGACAGAGGAAATGAACAAGATYCTACARCAAGTTCTGCGCAWGTACATTAGACCAGATCAGATCAAYTGGGATGAGATGCTTCCTAAAGTAGCTAGTGCGTAWAATAACAGCATGCATCTGTCCACCTGCCGCACTCCCAACGAACTGCACAAGTCCTTTAGACCGCATAGACCGTTCRAAGGGCTCAACCGGRACCAGATTCACAGATTGCCGCCCRGAACCAAGGAGTTTGCTCTACAGCACGAGAAAGAWCTRGCTAATGTTGTAGAGAACCTCAGGAAGGCCCARCACAGGATGGTAGAGCAAGCCAACAAACATCGTCGCCCCTCACAGTTCCAAGTAGGCGACTTAGTCTGGGTCAGTTCTAAAGAGTTTGCACCYGAGGAGAACATCTYGCAAAAGTTACTGCCCAYCTACAGAGGGCCATGGCCAGTCTTAGAAGTCAGGGGTAGCGAAAATGGTCCATCCTACACCATTGAACTGCCCCTACACCTCCACACCTACCYAGTTTTCCATGCGTCAAAGTTGTTGYCGTGCACARTAAGTGATCAGTTTCCATCTAGGCGATCTATGATCCCACCTGACATGGACGGGAGATACGACATTGACGGCATMGTAGGTGAAGATGTGTTCAGAACAGGAGGTAGGGGTCGTCCTCAGAAACAGTACAAARTCAGATTTTCATATCAAGAACCGGAAAACGAYCGGTGGTTCACTAAGACTKAACTTMTAGAGACGKCCCCTGACATAGTCCRCRSCTACGAAAGAGGTAGAAAAGGTAGTCCGCGCCTACGAAAGAGGTAGAAAAGGTAAAGCTCCTGCCTTGGACTGAAATTTTCTCGGAGGACCTCGAATTTAGGCCGGCGGGAGTGAAACAGTATTCACCGGTTTGCCGTAGCGGATGCAGATCCCAGGGCTCGATCCCTAGTTCCCCACCTTACCTGTGTACAGTATCTGTGTCAACCCGTAGAGTTGAACCTGCGACCTGTAGGACCGCCAGTGGTAGGTAGGATTTCGTAGGTCATAGGGTAGAAGGGATTCGAACTGTAGGCCTGTCGGGTAGGAGTCTAGACAGCCCAGAGGTCGTAGCTGTAGACTGTCTGAAGGGGCAAAGTCGTAGCTGCTACAGTACCGAAAGGCCAAGATAGAGGTTTCTAGAAGTGGCCTTTCGGAGTCAGCCTACGTTAGGCAGAGGCAAGTGGTCAAGTGGTGGCAGTCCACCGCGCACAGTC